ACGCGATTTGTGTTTAATATGTAATCAAATAGTTATAAAAGTTTTGCGCAAAACAATTGCCATTCAATTGACAACAAAAGCTTGAGAGAGAGAGAGAGAGAGAGAACAAACACCCCATAAACTATTAACTAAAATAAAACAACTAACAGTAGGGCCTTATAGTGAACGCCTGATTATACGGTACACCTGTATGTATGTGTGCGCACGGGTTGTGTGCAATGCCTCGTATGATATAGTATTGCGGAAGAAACCACCGGTTGAACTCCCGGTGCCATCGATTTTGTGATCGTAAATCTTGTTTTCTCTCTCTTTCTCCAGCGATGTGCACATCATTTCACTCCCCATTCAATTCAATGCTAAACCCAAACATACAATAAAATATTAATAAATATTATATTCAATCGTAAATTTTAAGCTATAATTGTCTTTTACTTATCTAATCTATACCTCAAACCCTTTATGGTTATTAAAATTAATGTTTTTCCCGCCTCTCTCTCTCTCTCTCTCTCTCTCTCTCTCTCTCTCAAGCTTTTGTTGTCAATTGAATGGCAATTGTTTTGCGCAAAACTTTTATAACTATTTGATTACATATTAAACACAAATCGCGTTCCCGTTTAGGATGTCGTGCCGTTTCGGACGACTGTTTTTATCGCACAGTTTTCACTCCTAATTTATCCTAACGTTTCTCAATGTATTTGAGATGTAATGAGATTTTAAGTCATTTGAAAATTAAAAGTTAATTTCCTATGAGTTCTGGAATTTGTGTTGTTTTGAACGCCAGTTCTCACTATAAAACGGGAATTGCTTTTAATTTTTACTGTCGATAACAATCTCGGAATCCACTCCTCCAGAGAAAGGGATCTAAATATTTTGATAAATCGATAGTTTATTCAGTCAATCATTGAGATTGGGATGCGTTCGTGGAGAGAGCGAGAGAGCAATGATTGATTAAATAAATTTTCTCTCTGAAAGTGAAGAGTGAATTCATTGAAGAAAAAACTTATAATAACTTTAATTTTTATCATTTGCTGTAATCGCTGCGAAACCATCTCACGTGAGAGTAAATGCGTTTCTCTCTCTCTCTCTCGCAACTTATAATTGAATCACTCATTAATTTTGATGACAATCGCAGGTCTTCCTGACGCTCTTAGATCTGTATCTATCGTTTCCACCGTTAATGCAAAGCAAACCGGACTCTGAGGGCGCGGATCGGTCTGAAAAGGGCGACGAAGACAACATAGAGGCGGCCATACAATTGCTGAGCCGACACTCGACCAAAATAGATCCGTTACGAGTGGTGAAACTGTTGCCGCCGAGTGTCCCAGTGCTGGCCATTCGGCACTTTCTCCACTCGACGACCGAACACTTACTACAGGAGAGACACACCAAACAGATATACCGGCAACTATTGCTGGCGCAGCACTTGCAGGTGCAACAGCACCGGATCCGTTTGCAACAGTACAATAAGGTGGTGGTCGACGAACACGACATATGCCGCGTCTGCCAGAAACGCATTGGCAAAAGGTTTGCCCGATTTTCTCGCTCTCTGTGTGTTGTTTATAGCCTTTTAATGGCAACCAAATAATAACTCAAATTATATTTTTACTCTTTTTATTGCTATTGTTTTTTGCTTTATAATGAATGTAATATTTCGTGTGTTTCTTTCTATAGTGTATTCGTTCGGTTCACTAATAAAGATTTGGTTCACTTTATGTGTAGAGAGAGGTATACATCAAAAGAGATGGTCCGTCTCATACATACTTCATAAGCTACCTCTTCCTCCACTTCTCTTCCATCCATATATTTAATGATATTTTTAATGTTTTAGAAAAAAGTAGATTAAAAGCCTTTTTTATATTTATTAAGATATAAATATTATTTATTATAAGTTTTTTATTATGAGATTTTTGTGTTTATTATTTGCGCTCCAATGAGAAGATGTTTATTAAAATTACATAAATAAAATATTATAACTATTTTTTCTATCCATTAACTAAACGATTAGTGGAGTAACGAAAATATTTTTATATGATATTAATATACTTTATATGTATTAATAAAAATATATTATATTATATTATGTACTAAATTGCTATCATTTCGGTATCCATTACTTCGCTGTAATTTAAAAAACTTTCTTTTAATCGTCTCTCTCTCTCTCTCTCTCTTCGTTATTATTATACGACTTTTAAAACACTTTTCATTATTTTTATTACTATTCTCTGGAAAAGTGTCACAAAAATTGATAATTTATGACAAAGACATGACATTCCGTTTAAATACAATATTATAGTAAAATATAGACAAAAATAATTCACACAAAGAATATATACTTTAAAAAAGGTTTTCAAACCAAAAAAAAATAGTCCACAAACTGAAGAGCAGAGAAAAACAAATAAAAATTTTTATTACATTTAGATTTTTCGTTTGAATTTTAGATTCAGCTGCACTGAAGTCTAATGTCCGTGTCTGTGGTGTGTATGGACAGGAGGCCACGGATACTAAATACGTGAGCATCTAGTTATCTGTAGTGAGCTGTTTAGCGTATAATCTATATTATAATTAAATATATATTAAATTGCAGTCACTTTCTCTTTTAATGTATGTTTAACTTTACTATAATTGACATTAAGTTTTTTGGCATTAATTAAACGTTTAATTCAAAATGTTATTTCTGCCTCCAAAACAATCTCGACTTAAATGCATGGCTTGTTTGCTATGGGATGGGATCGTAGGGGACTCGTATGACATGGGATGCCTGTATTAAAGTACACTACAGTATGAATATTCCCATAGAAAATACCTGTTGTTATTATTGTAATAAATTATCATTTTTGCAGCGAAAATAATTTTATATCATTTATTTTCTCACAAATGATTTATGATTTGTTTGTATAATATAAGTGATTATATAACAGAGTTATCACTAGTTATTATGTTTTGTTGTTTTTTGATTTTTGTTTAGTATGTTTTAATGTTTTTATGCAATACTTATGTATAATATTCTCACGCATTCAGAACATTGAGAGAATAAACTTAATAATATTTCGACTCTCTCTCTCTCTCTAAATGTTCTCATGAATGGCCAACCGTTTAATAACAGGGTTTTAGACTATAATAGAGTTGACATCTGTATTGTTGTTGCTGTCAATCCAAAGGAATGGACTTTTTATGTAATTTATACACGATTTGTGCGAAACGGGCATTAAATACACCGGGAGTTTGGGTTTCAATTCTCACACAAACTGCTTGAATAAATGTCATGTTTTCTCATAGAGTGATAGTTGTATAACAAAAATCCTTTTCAACCAAACTCTCGTCGATGGGTTTGGTATACAGAGTGAAGCACAAAAAGTAAAATAATTTACACAAATATATTATATAAGTATAGAAACGGATGAAAAGTAAAGAAAAATGTGTGACAATAGCATGCAATTTGAAACTCATTTATTACATAACATATACAGTGAGTGACAATTGTCTCGCAAAATACAGTACAGCGGATGAAAGAGTGAAATGTTTGGTAAACTTTTTTTGTTGTTTTGTTTTAAAAAATATTATGCAAAACAATAATGAAAAAGAGCAAAATCTCTGTAACAGGAGTGAGCACTGAATGCCCAAACACTCGGTTACCAAAAAAATACTAAACATTTTCAAATTATAAAGTGTTTTCTCATTTAATGTGTTTTAATGTTTTTATGCAATACTTATGTATAATATTCTCACGCATTCAGAACATTGAGAGAATAAACTTAATAATATTTCGACTCTCTCTCTCTCTCTCTCTCTCTCTCTCTCTCCAGAAGTCATTCTTAAAGACATTAATATTTTATTGATTTTCACATAACTTTATACGCGATAATAATTAGATATATAAGTAGTTATTGAAAGTAAAGTAATTTTGAAGACAGAGTGAGAGAAAGGGAGAGATTGTGTTAGGATTTGTGGTTGTGTTACGCGATTGCCTCCGAAATACACATCACATCTGGAATTACATAATGGGTTTGGGAGGGAATGGCAGCTCTGGTAAGGGATGACTACTTCCATAATAAGTTCACTTTTTAAATGTCTTTTTCGCCTTAAGACACACGTTATTGTGTGCCACTTCTTGAGCACCAATATTATTGCTAACTCTCTCTCTCTCATCCCAAGAGGTAAACGTACCCCAACTCACGAGTTGGTCGTCTCTCACACACAGTTAGTCTCAATGACTACCAACAGAGCACTCGAGGCTTGAAATGTGAGTGCAATTCCACCAAATGTTTAGACGGCTTCTGCCTCTCATCTGTTCTGATGATCGGACAGCGAGAGAGAGAGAGAGAGAGAGAGAGAGCACCTGTAGATCGGGGCGAAGTCTGGTGTGCGTGTGTTTGGGCCATAATTATTACCGTCGACTCGAAAATTGATTTAATGATCAATTGATTGGCGAACTGAAGGCTTAACAAAATTATATCGTCTAATCATCCGATGCTTTGGTTAACTCTCTCCTCACTTAACATATAATAAAATTTAAATTAAAACAAAAATATAACTAAACAAGTATTCACTAATCATTAATTGCCGCCGATTCTCTCTCTCTCTCTCTCTCTCTCTCTCTCATGATTTTGAATTAACAATTTTCATTTACTGCACAATAAGCAGAAAAACAAACTTTTTCTTTCTCCCAAACAAACAGACAAACAAATCACACATTGATTTGCATTCAAATCAAAATTCTTGAAATCCATTACCATTTTATTTATTTCTTATTTATTCTGTGCTTTCAATCTGATTGACGACTTGTTTGCCAATACATACCAAACAAGAAAATACAAAATAATTAATTTATTTAAATTTAACGACTCGACCGAATGCGCGGACTTTTAATCACAAAACATAATCTCATAATTAAATATCGCATTTTCTCTTTTAATTAAATTTAAATCAAAGTCTCGTTTGAAGTTTTTAAGAGAGTTTAAAACACATTTATTTCAGACTCGGATCGGGTTTTTCCTCCGAAGCCAAAGATGATAACCCTTTTTCTAACACAAAAAATAAATAAATGAAAATTATTAATCATTTTACTGTAAAATTTTCAATTCAAAATCTCAAACAGCGTTTCAATCAATAATATTGTAACAAAATTTTATTTAAAAATAAGTTTAAAATGCTATTAAACGAGCAAAATATACCTAAACTAAAGTAACACACAAAATTTTTAACTTAAACATTAAATTTAAAATCAAAATACTACTACCAAATAATCGGTAACTTTATATTGCTAGAGAGAGAGAGAGAGAGTAATATTCACAAATCTCGACCGAAAAGTGCCGTAAAATAAGGCATTCATGAGACGATTCGGTCGTAAAACATATACTTAAGCCTCAAATAAAAGGCCAAACCTTTCCCAACGATTCCGTGAATTCAATCCTTAATTTCCAATCTATAAGTGGTTTACATTTGCAAACACTTTATCATTCATTCACTCAAATACTTATATAATTTGTATTAAAAATATATGTGTTGTTGTCATTCAGATCTCGACCGATAAAAAATGTGTATTAATTTTATTATATAAAAATTGTGGCGGTTTTTGTACAAGAAACATTTTTAATTTCTTGTGGTTTTTGTTTGATTTATTGCCCGAAAAATGGGAATTAAGTGCCAGAAAAACGATGAGAGCCTTAACCTGTGCTACAAATCATCTTTTCTTACTATAGAGAGACATACAGTGTATGTATAGAAAGAAATTATATTTCATTTCATGAAATTTTATATCCTGTAAACCGTATTTAAAATGTAATAACAATTTAAATAAAAGCAAATGTTATGTTTTCTCAGACTCTCTCTCTCTCTCTCTCTCTCTCTCTCTCTCTCTCTCTCTCTGTAATTTGAATGGGCGTCGGAGGGAATAATATCACATCTTTCCTCCGCAGACACCTAACAATCATTTCTTTTTATTTTTCTCGATTTTGCGATCAAATTGATAGAAAGGGAGAGAGAGAAAGAGAGAGAGAGAGAGAGAGAGAGAGAGAGAGAGAGCACAAAGTCTGACAACGATATGATTTGTACGGAAAAAAATAATAAAAGAAATGAAAAGTTTTGTAAATCAAAAAACGCACAGAAATTTAATCCACAAATATTTTGATCAAATTTTTATCCAAACCATCAGTTGTTATGAATAGAAAACTCGTCGAACGGCTCGCCATAGAGTGAAACGATTGCATAATATTTAGTGAACTCTTCTTATAATAAAGTGAATAAAAATATTTTGCAAACTTTTTTAACCAGTTTATATCATATCCAAGAAGTTAAGAGCATTTCGATGGCAACAAAAATTTATTGCCGTATTTATATCTCGATCAATTAATTTATTCGTGACGATTAACTCAATTAACATTTTGCGCAAATTTTGTTTTGCATTTTCTTTATATAATTACAGATATATATTATAAACTTATTATGAGTTTCTCGTTAAATGAGTCGCTTTTTTGGGGAGAAATTTTTTAATTCACTCTCAAAACACACATTAATATACACTTTAAAGACATAATAAGTCTGTAAAATATAATAAATACCATAATAAACATAATAAGGTGTACCGGGGGTTAAATGGGAGGCAAATTGAGTTGTTTTCCTTCGTATATATTAATAGAAGTAACGAAGAGTTTAATCATTTTTCATATTTTTCAGACACATTTCGTAAGAAAAGTGTTGTAAAAGGGTTTTAAAGGTTTTCAAAAGGGGTTTAATTTCTCACACTTTTAGCATTATTACTAAATTACACTAAATTTTTATACGAAAATACATATAAAGTGGGGAAATATTTTGCTATAATTTTTCACAATAGGTGTTGTGT